CTTGTGAACCTTACATTCATGTGGATAGAAACAGGCAGTAAGTAAAATAAGTAAGAAGATTACAATTAAATAGTACATTAGAAAATGTGCCTAGAAGAAAAATAAAACAAGAAAGAAGAATAGGGAATGCAGAAGTGGAGAGCATTGGAACTTTAAACAGGACAGTCAGGAATGCCTTCACTGAGAAGTTAATACTTGAGCTATCATTTATTTGATGGAGGTGAGGGACCAATCCATGTGGATACTTGCAGGATGAATGTTTAAGGAAGAAGAAGTAAGTGTAAAGCCTCTAGGCCAAGAAAATGCCAGGCATCTATAAAGAGTCAGCATGCCAGTGTAGTTATATTGGCATGAGCAAGGGAAAGGTTGTACAAGTTGAGAGATCAGAGAAGTCAGAGTGCAGGGCTAGAGTGGGGTAGTGGCTTGTAGGTCATTGGCTTTTATGATGAGTGAAATAATAAGATATTAGAGGGAGTATGTGGCTATGATGTGGAAGTCAACAAGATCTTTGGTGTAAAGAAGTTCAAGGAACTCAAAAGTCAGGTTACTAAAGGGATTAGCTATATGGTTAATGAAGTCACCAAGAATTAGAAGAAATGGAGACTGCCAGTGAAACAGGAGATAAAATCTTTTCAGTAATGAGGAGGAATAGCCAGGAGATCATAGATAATTTCAAGAAAGAGAGGTGATCTGATGACATAGATCATAAGAAGATCTAATGGAGAAAGGTCTGGAAGCAGCAATGAAAAGCAGTCTACCTCTTTTCCAAGTCTAATAGAACAAGAGATGTGGGAAAGAAAACAGTAATCACTAGCGATTACTAGAGAAGCAGCAGTGTCCACAGAGGCGCACTAAATGTGAATTACAACTTAGTGCTTTGAAGGAAATATATGAGATATTAATTGTGGGGTAGGGCATGCCAAGCCTGGTAAATCCAAGCATATATCTGTAAGGAAGTCACACTTGTGCTAAGATGTGAAAGAAGAGTAGAAAAAAAAAATTAGGTTATGAAATATGAAATGTCTGATTTCCTTAAGTACTAAGTTTGACAGTTTATATCTGACATTTCACTTTGACACTGTTTTATTTTTACCGTGAAGGTACATCCTCAGTCTTTAAAAGGCACGTTTTGGCTTGTGATTATCTTTCACGTTTTTTTACAGCAATTTTTGTGAAACCATGGATAAGTCAAAAATGTGTGTTATTTTCGAATATGAGTTCCATCGTGGAACCAATGCAGCACAGACAGCTCAAAATATCAATGAAGCATTTGAGAAGAAAGTAGCTAATGAATGCACAGTACATTGATGGTTTGAGAAGTTCTGTTCTGATGATGCTAATCTTGAAAATGAGCCACGTGGGTGATCTGAGACCAAGGTAGATGATGATGAGCTGAAAGCTGTAGTGGAAGTGAATCCATCTCAACCTACACGAGAATTAGCAGCAAGGTTTGATGTTACTGTTTCAACAATACTGAAGCATTTGAAATAGGCAAGGTAAAGAAGCTGGATAGATATGTTTCACAAGAATTAAATAAGTATCAAAAGAGAAATCGTCTCGAAACTTGCCTTTACTTTCATGACATAAAGGTGAACCATTTCTACACTGTATTGTGACATGTGATGAAAAGTGGATTCTTTTTGGTAATCACAAGCGTTCCACATAATGGTTGGATAAAGATGAAGTGCCAAAACACAGTCCAAAACTGAATATTCATCAAAAAAAGCTAACTGTGTCTATTTGGTGGTCTAGCACAGGTATTATCCACTACAGTTTTATGAAAACTGGTCAATCGATTACAGCAGATGTCTACAGCAACCCACTGGACAAAATTATGAGGATGCTTGTGATTAAGCAGCCGAGATTGGTCCACTGACAGGCCAATTGTCTTATGAGACAACGCTCAACCACATGTTGCACAAACAACTCTGCTCAAACTACAGAAGCTGGACTTGGAAACTCTATCATCCACCATTTTCACCAGACCTTGTACCAACTGACTACCACTTCTGCCAGGCTTTGGACCACTTCTTGCAAAGAAACGTTCAATTCTCAATAAAGTGTAGAAAACGCATTTCATGATTTCATTGCCACTCGCTATCCAGACATTTTTGCTGCTGGCATAAACACGCTACCATTACAATGGCAAAACCATGTCAACAGTTTAGGTGCATACTTTGATTAATTGTACTGCTTCTTGTTTGAGACATCCTAAACTACACCGTTGATTCAAAATTGGACATTTCATATTTAATGACCTACTAGGTGAACTGGGAGGGAGGAATTGCCAGGGAGACAACTACAAAGGCTGGACAATGGGAAGGGCAGGCCACATTTGAGGGCACAAAAGGCCAGTGAGGCTGTACCCTGAGAGTAGGGGTCAGTCTGGGAGGAAATAATCCTAGAGCAGGAAGTCAATGTTCTGACCGAGCTGTCCTCACAGGCCGGGGGTAGGGTTTTGCTCTTTATTCCAAGAGCACTAGAAAACACTGGAAAAGGTATACAATATCAAAATTCTTTTACTCTTACCTATTTGTTGTAAAAACTGATACATGGAAAAGGTAAGTAATTATAATGTGTGATATAAATATTAAGATTAGAAAAGATATTAATTTGGGCTAGAAGGAAGCCTTATTAAGAAGTCATAAATTCTGACTTCAATTTTCTAATTAGTGTCCTCTTGGAAAGAGTTCAGAATCAAGTTATTTTATGGCTTTGTGTGAATTATGGTTCTATTGCATCAAATACTAACTTCCACACAGCTTGCAGAAAATCAAGGCATATATCCATAGATAATTCAAATGAAAAAGTGCATGCCAAGGGTAGGGTTCTATTGTAGCAACTTGTCCAGGGTCTCACCCTGGCTCCACAGCTGGACTCAGGGATGTGACTCAAAACAACCAAGCTTGCAAGCAACTAATGTAACAGAAACCAAGATCCAGTTTAGTTATTTATAATGAAGAGTATACCCGGCAAGGCAATGAAATAGTTTCACTCTCTAAGCAGAACATTTTATCCTTATGCCAACTGGGAAAAAAAAGCAATTGTGATGTAGAAGTTGCTCAACATTAATGTTTGATGGTATGTATTTAAGAATGGTAATGCATTCCTCTCTTCAAGAGAGGTGTTCAATTCTCCCTGAGAAGCTTCTACACTCAATAACAGGAAATCATATCCTGTCTTTATACACTAGTGCCTACTATTCAGAATATAATATGAACTCAATATACATTTGTGATTGAACCAGGGACCAGGTTGTCCCCTGGGGCAGAGAAACCCTCCTGTGTTTAAGTGTACATTGTCAAAATTTGCTTCTTAACTATCCTTCTTTGCTTATTTTAACAAAATAGTTTTGATTGATACATTCTTTTAAAAAACATTAATACCTTTAGTCAGGTTACATGCAAGTATATTTGGTATGGGAGCTATTCTTTCCCTTTAGGGTGAGTTTGTATATTTCTGTTCTGATTCATTATCTTCTAGAAAAAAAGATTTAATGTTAATGAAGTCCCAAATCTTTGTCAACAATTCTAATAGTATGTCATCCTATAATACCCTTTCCAAGTACCAAAAGGGGAGAATATTCTAAAAAAGAACTCTTCACATGTAAACTTTTGCCTTGTTGCATGGTTTGGGAAATTATGAAAAAAATGCACAGAATTTTTCAATAAGGCATTTTCTTAACATACAGTATGAAGAAGAACAGAGAAATGACTGTCAAATCTACTGCAACATTCATTTATTAAACACATTTATCATTTAGTGTTGAGGGACAGGGAATACAAGAAAAAACAAGTGCTTCCTACCCTCACTCCCCAACTTTAGGAGTAGTCCTATAGGTTACAACCATCAAAACAATGTATAAGTGCTATTATGGTGCTATGACATCAAAACAAAGAAGATAATTGTGATAAGGGACCTTATCACTAGTAGAGAACTTGTAGAGAACTAGTGAAGGACTGCAAAAAGTGGTTATGTCAAGCACTATTGGACAAGAAGACTGAGAAGAAAAGCATTCTAATGGCAAGGAAGCATGAACTAATGCACAGAGGCATGGAGGCCAATGGTGTTTCCAGGAGATAAAGAATAATTAAGTGTGGCTGGAGCACATGAAGCTAGAAGGGAGGGTTCCAGTCAGATTATGTAAAGCCTTAACTGTCACACTGAAGAATTCAGGCTCAATTTCATGGAGAAAACAAAAGCCATGGGTAAATTTTTCCCCTAGTGAAAATAGCTAGAAATTATATCAGTTTACAAAATTGAGTTTAATACGGATCCACAAATAGCAAGAATGTAGGAACTTAAATAGAAATAGTCTGGGTTCTTTATGGATTATAGCAGTATCATATATAGTAAATATATAACATATAGTAAATATATAATATATATCATAAAAGATAGATACTATATAGAATATATAATATGCATATATATTCTATATAGTAAGTACAGCCAGTGTAAAAAAACACTCAAGAAAGTAAATTTGCATTTATAAAGATGTGACTAGGAATAGTTCTAGAAAAGGTATAAATGTGTGTCAGAAAGGTTCGATAATGAGTTCTTTACCATTGAGGCAGTAAATTATTTTTTTCTACTACTGTTATTAACAAACTGTAATAGCAATATCTACAGATTTGTTAAAATCTTCCCAATACAATGACATTAATATACTGCCACAATATTTTATTAAATCACTTTAATTCAATTTATCATTAAACATGGTGACAATATATAAATATGCCTGAATTACTCAAGCGCCTTAATTTGAGTAAATATAAATTATCTCAATGTGAAATAACTTAAAAATGCAAAACTACAGATTCTCACATAATAAATTTAAACACAGGTTATATGAAAATCAAATCAAATATCAGAAACCCAAACTATTAATATTATTTTCTTTATATATTCATAGTACAGTAACAAAAAATCCAGATTTAAAAGTCTTGACTGACCCCTTGTGGTCAAATAATTTGAAACTAAAAGTCAGCAATATTTACCACCATCTTCAAAATCATCTTCTGTTATCCACCAAGGCACTGTATCTTTCTTCTTCATTTCTTTTTTAGGTTGTCTAGGTGTTATATTTGAATTTTCAAAAGAATCATCTGAAAGCTGAATCAGATGCAAGTTATTGAATTTTAAAATACGTTGTGAATTCGAGAAACCCAGATTTATCACTAAAAATGTTTCTATTAGTTCTCTCACAGTTCAACTAACACATAGACAAACAATATGCTTAACAATAATGTATAATTTCCTATTTGTCAATGTATGTTACCAAAATAAACTTAAAAAACAAGCATACACCTCTGAGCACCAATTTTATACTTAAGTAAACTAGGAGAATAACAACAAAGAAATAAAGAAAACTGATCAAGAAACTTGTTCAGTAAAGAAAAAAGAAGGATATAATCCTATTTTCAAGACACTCTCTAGTGTCTAAGAATAAACCATGGCTGAGCAAAATTATATAGCATCACTCTAGAAGAACACAGAATTCCAAGACAAGGAAGAACTGAGTTTCAGGGGGTAGAAAAGATGATAGAGTTGACCAGAGAAATCAGCATTCTGTTACAGTGATTAATAAACTTTTATTTGCCCTTTTTAACTCTTCTAATCCAAATTTAATGATAATTCTAAATTACCTAATCTACCCACAATATCCTCACTCTTAGCTAATTAACTTGGTCTCCTTGTTCACTGAGAAAATAAAGACCTTCGATCAAACACCACCATCCTCTTTCCCCTCACCACACCACAAAACTTACCTGTTAAGGCACTTTCTTTTTCTTTCTCTCTCAGAAGAGACCATTCTTTCCTCTACTCCAACCTACAGAAAGGTCATTTTCCATCTCCCCAGGTTCTCCCTTCCCTGTTTATCCCATTTTATTTCTGTATTTTCTCTCTCTCCTCTCTTCCCTTCTCTTAGATTATAAATGCACTTTAGCACTCAGCACTGTACCATCCAGTGCCTAGCACAGCACCTGGCACAACTGTGGAAGTAAAGAATGAAAACTCAGCTCTACTTTGGAATAAAACAAAGCAAAATAAAACAACAAAAAAATATTCCTTATTCCTATCTCCCTTTTACTCTACCCATTACTTTTCCTTTATATACCAACTTCTTGAGTTCACCGTTCAACCCTTAAAATCTGGTTCCCATCCAAAACAGTGCTTCTCCAGGCACCATAGGCTTCCTAAATGCCACAAATAAAGTACCACTGTCAGTTATCCTCCCTGACACATCATGGAATTTGATACTGGTGACCAGCTCTCACTTCTTGAGACTCTCTACCCCTAACTTTAGCAGCATCACTTTCTCCAAGTTAGCCTTGGCCAAGCTCTGTGGCCACTCCCACCCATCTATGTTAATAACTTTTGGCTTTTTGTCCATTTCTTTACATAAGACTTCTCTGGGACTATGCTCTTGATCCTTTTCAATTTCATTCTATATATTTATCTGGGGCAGAAACCAAGATTTATTACTTTCCTGGATCTACACTCAGATTATCTCACTTAATCTTTGAATAATCCTGCAGAGATTTACTGATGAGAAAACTGAAACCCTGAGAGATTAAACAGCTTGCCCAAGTTGCTACTGTTAGTAAGTGTGGGATTTAAACTTGGGTGTCTGTCTAAACCCATCCACTTTCCACTATGCTATGTAGCCCCCCAACTAGAATACTATTATCTGTGTGACCTTTTAAACTTCCAAGATGACAACACACACACACACATTTCCACCTGCCAAACAAAAACCCTCTACTTCAATGACTTGTAAGAGTGTCAATTTTAAAATGTTCAAAAGAACTCATTGTCTTCACTGACAACCAGGTAGCAAGAGGGAAGGAGTGGAGAAAAAATATTCTTTATTCCATCCAAGTTTCTGAAATTAGTCACATCACTTTCCACTTAGTCTTGGAACTTTACTATCACCTTGAAATGTTCCATTTCTCTCTCCTCCCCACATGTTCTCAGTTTATTTATTTGTAACACAGGCATAGTACCACTGACCTTGCAAAGCTATGGCAAAGAGCAGAAAAAGAAATGAAGAATACCCACTCTACTGTCTAACACATAGTAGGTGTTCTCACTTTCAACAACCTTCCACAGTGCTATTCAGATTACTGTCATTAAAAGCAGAACAAATCAAAAAAGCCAGTTCTCAGATAATAACAGTGTTGGAAATTGGAACCCTAATAAACTAACCGCACTGCTTGCGGGAATATAAAATGTCAAAGACACTTTAGAAAATAGTCTGGTAGTTCCTTAAAGGGTAAACAGAGTTACCATATGACCCAGCAATTACACTCCTAGGCCTATACACAAGAGAAATGAGAACACACATCCACACAAAAACTCTTACATGATTTTCATAGCGGCATTATTCATAATTGCTAAAAAGTGAAAGGAACCCAAATGTTCATCAACTGATAAGTGGAAAAACAAAATGTGGTATATCTATACAATTAAATATTATTCAACTATAAAAAGAAATGAAGTATTACTACATGCTACAACAGAGACGAGCCTTGAAAACATTATCCTAAGAAGCCAGATCCAAAAGGCGCATACTATACAATTCCAATTCTATGAAATGTCTATAACAGGCAAATCTTTAGAGACAGAAGTAGATTACTGGTTGCCTAAGGCTGGGGAAGGGAGGAAAAGGAGATGGGGGTAATTGCTAACAGATAAGGGGTTTCTTTCTGGGGTGATAAAAATATTCTAAAATTGACTGTGGTGATGGTTACATTATCTCTAAAACTACAAGGTACAACTCTATATTGTACACTTCAAATGGTGAATTATATGGTGTGTGAATTTTATCTCAATAAAGCTATATATATTTAAAAAGTTGGTCCCACCACTCTCCTAAACACAAAGACATGTAAACTACATCTTTGAACAAACTGTTTGAATGATAATTCATCAAAATGACCAAAGAAGTTACTATGACTCTAAATCATGATTTTCATTGTTAAGAATGAAACACGGCTTTACCCGAATCTCTATCTTGAGATAAGAGCTTTTATAAGTTGAGGATGGACATGAAGGGAAGGAGAAAGGGAGACAGGGAGGGATGGGCAGGGGAGGGAGAGTGTAGGGGGTGTGTGTGTTGGGGGTGGTAAATGAGGGGTAGAAAAAACATTTTCCAAAAGGCCTGTACTGCCATCTATTTTTCACAACAAACATACTTCCTATAAATTTAATTTTCAAATGCGTCTGTATTTGAAATAAAAAACCTTCAAACGGGAAGTGAGACTCATTCTGAGTTCCTATTACATCCTGGCAATTGGTAGATGCTTTTTTAAATCCTTAAAACAATCCTATAAAGTAGGTGTTACTTTTCCTATTAAATGATGAAACTGAGGGTTTTTTCCTACTACACTAAAGTCCCTTTTACGAATAAGAATGTTAGTATAATAGTTTAAAATGTGATTCTCTTGAATGCTCTATAAGCATCCTTTATGTAAATATAGTCATGTGTCACTTAATGATGGGGATATGTTCTGAGAAATGCCTTCTCAGACAATTTCACTGTTGTGAGAACATCAGAGTGTATTTATATAAACCAAGTTGGTACAGCCTCCAACTACACACCTAGGCTATATGGTATAGCCTATTGATCCTCGATGACAAACCCCTACAGCATGTTACTGTATTGAATACTGTAGGCAACTGTAACACAATGGCAAGTATTTGTGTATCTAAACACATAAAAGGTATGGTATGGTAAACATGGTACAAAAGATTTTTTAAAAAGGTACACCTACATAGGGCAGACCCATTATAATCCTATGTGACCACTGTTGTATATGTGGTCCATCATTGATAAAAACAACTTTATGTGGTGCACAGCTAACTATACATAGAATGTGGTGTAACCATTTAATTTGTTCATTCAGCATATATTTATTAAGCATCTATTAGGTACTGCAGATACAGCAATAAACATCCACAGCCATTGGGACACAGACCATATGCATCCTTATAATGGGAAGCAGAAAATAGACCTACAGGAAAAAGTAATGAATATGTTAGTGCCATAACAAGAATTAAATATATGGTATACTGATAAGTGACTTGGTGGTTACTCTTTACTGGATAAACAGAAAAGACCTCTCTGAAGTTGTGATATGTAAGATAGGATCTGCACCAGCCAGGTGAATAAGGGAACAGCATTACTGGCAGAGGGAACAGCCAGTGCAAAGCCCCTAAGGTAAAAGAGCTTAAAATGCCTGGGGGAGAAAAAAAACCACTGTAGCATAAATAAAATGGATAAGGGGGAAGAGTGATATAAAGTCAGTGAGGTATACATGAGCAAAATCATGAAAGGCTTTATTAACCATGGTAAGGAACTTGGATTTTATTCTACATGTGATGGGAGACCTATTGAATTTTGCACTGGGGAGGAACACAGTCAGACTTATGTAACAGGTAAGTGTGGTGAGAGAAATGCTGGGACATTAGTTGGGAAACGTTGTAGTAGCCCAGAAGACCTGGTAGTATTGAACTAGCAGGTAGTAGAAAAAAGAGAGAAAGCTAGAGGGGATGCAGGTATAAACTGGTGGCAGTGCTGACCCAGTGTGGTGATGGATTAACTTTATCTTTGAAGTGAAAGAGAGAATTAAAGGATGAGGTTTTTGAGACAAATTAACAACACCACTTTTAAAAACACAAACTTACCTCTTTTATAAACTGTTCAAACTCTTCATCCATCTCTTTTTTGGAAAAGCGGGCCATAATCAATAATTTTCACTTTCCAAAGTTAACATGCTAAAGTATTTACAACATTGGCAACACTAAATGACAAGAGATATAAAAATATCTTTTGAGGAAATTCATCACATCATGAAACAAGCAAACTTTAAACATTTCTGTTATGATTTAGTATATATGCACAATTATAAACCAGTAAACTAGTCAAGAGATTCTTAAATCATTAAGAAAACTGACTTGGAAAAGCATCTTTGAGAGTCTGCCTTGTATTCAGGGTCCAGAATCACATTTTCATCTGTTCATATCCAATTTTTAAAGGGTGGTCTCTACAATATTTCCTAAACCTGTATTTGTGTGTTTGTATGCTACTTAATACTTCTCAAACACACACCAGGTCCTCCCAGAGAATCTTAAAAATTATAAATTAGCAAATCCAAAGGACCGTTTCTTTCTTGCAAAGCACAAAGTGTGTGCTGCCTTATCATTCAGCCTGTTATTTTACCAATCCATATTAATAGTTTTGTTAAGACAGTTTCCATACATTGCGTTGCTTCCAAACATACACAAATAGTATTTATTAAGATTCAGAATACTTAAAATAAAAAATACTTAGTTAACAGAGTATACAGATCAGCACTAATTAAGTTTCTTTTGAAGCGGGGGGAGCCAACAAAAAGCATGCACTTAACATCTTAAGTGGTATCCAGTGATTTGCAACGAAACCTCTCCTCTATTCCCTTAATGAACCCAACCTTAGGTCTGCAGCAGCTTCTAGACTTTTAACCCCTTAGAGGCAGCTAAACCCCAACTTTCTTTTGCAAAGGTGGGAGTGGGGGTGGGGTGGGGTTGGAGACTGGGACAATACCTTCCCCGAATAACAGCTCCTCCCCTCATTAGCACTTTCGATCAGTTCAGGGTGGGTGCGGTTAAGGTCCTCAGATAATAACACTGTTGGCAAAGATATGGAGAAATTGGCCCGAAGGTCTTGGTCAGAGGCAGACTCCACTAAAAGGTCCTCGGCCTGGCGGCGCCCGGCCCCGGGAAGCGCGCGTTCGGGGACTGGCGGGAAGACAGACACATTTGCAGTGGAGTCTGGACGTAGACATATACCCCGAAAACCAAAGCCGTCGGATTGGATCAGAGGCACGGCCTTGGCCATGGTGATATGCGTAGGAAGCAAAGGACCAGTTCGGACCTACCTCTGCCTCTGAATTCCGCGCTTTCCCGGAAGGTCTGTGCGGCCCGCCAGTTGCCAGGGGAACAGGCTGCAGCCTCCGGAGTCACATGATCCAGGACGGTCACGTGGCTCGTGGGCCAACAGGGCCGCCATTAGTTTCCCAATCCCTTTACAAGGTTGGAACAACCAGGGCTCAGGTGGATATTGTGGTGGATAAGAGCATTGCTGCTGCACTGTTACGCCCTCTGGCTTTCTCTGCGCTGCTTAGAAAAGTGGGCTACAGCGAATCGGTTGCTGGAGAACCCGTAGGGAGGCGTCCTGGGGGTTGTACGCCCCGCCCACGGCTTCCGGGAAATGTAGTTTAGCTCCTCTAGTCCTTGCATTTCTGTAGTCCACCTCGCTTCTTACCGCCTTCCCGGCTATTGTTATTTGAGCGCTCTGCTTTTCAAGCGGAAGCTTTGAAGAAATTGAATTCATTGGATTTCCTTCAGGTGCAAAGAGCCCTCTGTGGGTGTTGAGAGAGAAGCACAAACCTTTGAGAAAGAACTTTGTTGTCAGGATAACGACTCTGTTCCACCACCTAGTGGACGAGGAATTGAAAATACACAAACACCAAGATTCTTTTGTTTGTTTGTTTGTTTAGAGCCAGGGTTTGCCCAAACTAGAGGGCATGGTGTCATCGTAGCTCACTGCAACTTTGAACTCCTGGATTCAAGCAATCCTCCTGCTTCAGCCTCCCTAAGCTGGGAGTACAGGCACGCACCACCACGCTGGACTAATTTTTAGGATTTTTTTTTTTTAGAGGTGGTGTCTTGCTATATTGCTCCAGCTGAGCTTGAACTCCTGTACTCAAGTGATCTTCCTGCCTGGGCCTCCCAAAGTGGTAGGGTTACAGGTGAGCCACCTGGCCCAGCCCAAGATTCCTATGAAAGATATCGCTTCTCATCTTGGAACATCTTTGTGGTTTCTCGCTACCCCTACTTTTCAAAACCGCATTCTGTTAGTGGCATTTTACTACTTTCTTGGATTTTGTTTTCTGTTTCTTCTTCCTTTCTTCCTTCCACCTACTCTTCTTTCTTCTTTCTCACAACATGAGCTGGAATTTCAGAGGACAGATTTAGGACAGTGAAAGTAAAATCTGCAACAGTTGAAGGGTTTGTTTCTGGTAGACATAGTTCAGGACCTTATTTCCAGCCTGAACATTTCATTTGACAAGTGTTTATTGCGATCCAAATGTGTACAGGACAGGAGCTGTGCCCCACAGTACAAATATGAATAATAACATATATTACCGTGGCACTTAGTGTACCATGAACCAAGAAAGTTTGGGAGCCTTTCCACTTGAGCCACAATTTGTAAAGTCAAAGTCTTGCTCAGTATACAGTTAACCCTTTAAATTCATAGTCACCAACTTAGACTGGGCATTCAACACTTGCAATCTTACTTGCTTCTCTAGTAAATTCTACTCTTATGCTATACAGAGACTATTTCATAACTCCTCCACCCTACTATGATTCCAGAATGAGTAACCTTTCCCGTCTTGCCTGAGACTTCCCTGGTTTTTTCACTGAAAGTCTGGAGTCATAGGAACCCTCTCAGTCTCATGTCAACTGGGATAGTTGGTCACCTTTGCCCCTTCTTCCTTCATTGTCCCTCACCTGACATCCCACATCCATTATGAACAGACGGTCTGGGCTTATACCTCAATAAAAAATATAGATCCCATGAGGCAGGAATTTCTTCATCATTTTTCCACTATATCTATAAACTGTGTCTGCATCTACACTCATCCTAATCTGTCATGTGTCATAATGGAGGAAGTGTACCACCTTCTACCAAAGACTCATCTTCCCACATAGGATCTGCAGCCTTAACCCATTCTTCTTCTCAATGATCTTGTTCCACTGGTCATTTGCCTGTCTCACTATATCTTCAACTTCTGGCTATTTGTAGGACTCTTCCTAACTAACAGAATTGGAACATGCCCTGAGATCCCCACCTAAAATACCACTTTCAAAGCACTCTTCGTTCTGTATTTCCAAGGATTGGAATTCTCTCTCCCTCTCTTAATCCTGCCTGCCAATCTTTTCTGAGGAATTATTTCCACTTTACTTCTCTTTCATCAGACTTTCTAATCCTTCTAATCCACCCACACCAAGGTACTAAAACCTTTCTTGATAGTGTCATCAATTTTCTCCACATTGCTAAATCCAACACATACATACACACACACACACACACACACCATCACCATCAACTTACCTGATCTGTAATTGATACAGTTGTCCACTCTCCCTTTCTTGATTTTTCTTCTACTTTTATGGCCTCTCCTTGGGAGTCTTTCACTGTTCCTCTATCTATTCTACTTGACTTCTAAATGTTAGAAATGTTAGGGCTTATTTCTAGACTCATATCTTCTCGTTATCTTTTACATTCTTATTCTAGGCAGTTTGATCCTCATGGCTTTAAATATCATGTATGTATTTAAAACTCTCAAGTATATGCCTTCAATTCTAACTTCTCTTTTGAACTCTGGGGTCCTATCCAAACTTATGCCAGAGCAATCTCCACTTGTATCTCACAAGGCATCCTCTAACTCCGTGAGTCTTACGTTAACTGTGCCCTCCTCAAACATGATTCTTTCTTTCCAACACTTCTATTATATTCATTCGGTACCCGTTCCACTCATGCAGTCACCAAACAGAAATCTAGGGATTCCGTCTCTTCCATATTTTGTCCATAAGTTAAACTTATCTATGCTTACCTTCCAATATGTCCTACATGTACCTCTTTACATCTTTAATTACTAATGTCCAAGGTCAAGCATATTTCCTCTTGCCTGAAGTTGCTCATTAGCCTTAATACAATTCTCTACTTCTACTTCTGTGTTCTTGAAAATGTGCCAAGATTTCAACTCTGCAAATACCAATGAACCCTTAATTTTAAAACACTGTGTAATATAAATCTGTGATCAAATGTATCTAGCTAAGAATGTCAATGAAATGGCAAAAATAAGTTTGGCTAGTTCGTATGAACATCATCTGGGATAAGGATCAAAGGATTCCTACTTTGATAAGCTCTTCATAAACTGGTTAACAAGTTTCATGTGTTTTTGTATCTGGAATTGATATGAAACTTGAATAATTACTATATTGATGTTTCTAGGGGCTCCCCAAGTGAGTTTGTGGGGTCTGGGAGTGGGGAATTTACCTAGCCTTAACTGCCACCCTTTTTTCAATAACAAATATACGCAGTGGTGGAACTCATCACATTGAAACATAGCTGCAACCAGACGTCAACAGGTTAATTGAGTGTAAACCTAGAAATTATGAATTGATTAAGAGAAATGAATGATATTTAGTTACAATAGTTCCATTTAACAAAATCTTTCTTACTTTTATTTCAGAAGGGAGATTTTTTCCTGATATAGATAATAAGGAAGCACTGAAGAATGTATTCTAGCAATAAGAAATTAAATGTAACGATTTACTTTGGTTTTTCATATTGTTCATTGGTTATTGCTTGTCACCCATTGGTCATGAGTCTGACTGCTTTTTATTTGCTATTTAAAATTTTGCTGATTCTTTTCGCATAGATCTAATGTCAAAGGTTCAGCTATTATATTTTTTCCCCATGAAAAATTTAAGAATAATGGATTTCATAATAAATATGAAATGTATACCATCATCTTTATAAGATAAATGTTTCTGAAAACACAGGATGTTCTCTCCCTTAGGCTATGCATAGCTGCTAGTTTACAATTTATATCATAGCCATGGATGATGATTACTTATGAAATGTTTTCAAATAATCTAATAATTTTAGTAAATGGCCACTGAACCTGTCAGTAATTAAGAATTGGCATGTCTCAAAAAGGGTGATAACAACGTGTATAATTATGTATATAAATGGAAAAACACGAAAATTGTTGTATATCAAAATGTTAAAAAAAAGCTATTGCTCTGTGATAACACTGTAAGAGATGAAGAACACAACTTAAAAAGATTAGAGAAGAAATATTTGCACACACTAAGCTAAACAAGGGCTGCTATAAATATATAAAGAATACTCAAAAATAATAGTAAAGGATGAACAATACAATTGAGAATAAGCCAAAGGATAATGAACAACATTCTTAAAGAAGACTATGAAAATGGAAATAGCACATTTGAAAAAGATGCTCAAAGCACAAAGCCTTAGGAATGCAAATTAAAACAACCACAATGAAATCCCACTGTGGTGTGTAGCTGATGGTGAGATTAGGAATCTTTGCTCTGTATCTTGATATGGTAGCAGTTACAGCAAAGCTACATCTTGATTATTCAAAACAATACAGGACACGTGACCACATGTTAAATGATGAAAATCGAATAAACTTCTGTAATGATATTCCCTCAACTTTCTGAAAATCTATTACTATTTAAAAAATACAAAAGTAAAGAAATTGCAAAAATACTGTAATGAATCCTGGTGTTTCCTCATAAAACCAAAGTATCTTGATTTTTATACTTATAGATTACCCATCCATGTCAAGTGTATTAGTAATTGAAAATTAAAGAAATAACTTTTTTTAAAAATCATGTTTTACCATAACATCCTTATTTTAATACAATACAGTATTCACAATAGGCTAATTTTATACATTGGTTATTGTATATAAATTTAGAATACAAAATTAATACTTAAAAATACATTAGAAAATATCTTTGTATAGGAATATTTTCCTTTAATCCATACCATTAACATTTTCCATGAACTAACAATCTATTATTGCAAAAATTATTGGTAAAGGAAAAATCAGGGGTAATGGAATTTCTCGAACAAACATGAGTCTCATAATGACTACCTGCGGTTAGCCAAAAACTCGTGGATACAAGAAAAAAAGCTTTATCCTGGAGAGGAAATACTAATACATTAATGGGCTCAGCATCCAAAAAACAGTAAACTAACAAAAAAACTAAAAAGAAATAAAAGACTCAAAAAAAGAGAAATGAGAAACAGAAGATAAA